GGATTAGTCGGTGGCCTAGTGGGCTTCCAGATACCGGGTGGTCCATACCAAAAAAAAAATAATAGTAAGTGAATTTCAAGTAGTCTGAGGAAAAACTTTTTTAGGATTCTGTTTGTGATGGCAAAGTTTCAAACTTCACATTACAAGACAAAGGTGACAGAAAGGCAACAGGACTGTAAACTGAAAATTTTAACTAATCTTTTAAAAGATTCATGGATTTATTTTTACTTTATATAATTGACACAATGGAAGTGTAAGATTTGCATGAATTTTTTAATTACTCATAGTTTTCAATGAGTTCACCTGGATTGGAGGCTCATCCATTTACAATACAAGATTCTGCTTATTCATTTCGTACTACTGATATTCTAAACCTATTTCAATTTGCTAAACTGTATCAGATGTCTAAATTGGTACAAGTTGATAAGAGCGTGTAGGATTTTAAGTACTGGTATTGTCCCATGGTTGGCTGTTGTTAGCAGTATATGACAGTTCTGTTGCTAAACATCATTGATTTGTGTTCCATCCCTAGTTGTTTTAGCTATAATGGAGGAATCATAACTCCTCTCCCAACCCCCAAACGATCAGTTTAAAGATTAGCTTCTAAATTTCAAGAAGCAACATCTGGGTGGAAGAACTCAGAAGCTGACTAACTCTAGCCATTTCCGTTGCCTGTTGTAATACCCTGAAAGACTTTTATGACACTGTCACATTGTGCAGTGAAAGATGCATTGTTTGTTGTGGCGGTAAGTACTATATTTCACAAATAGAAGATTCCAATGTACTTGGAAAAATTCATTGAACTCATGCATTGTATCTGCCTATCTGAACCTGGGGATGGTTTGCACCATGATAGATCAGTGATTTTGGTTTCATTTGAGTTGCTGGAGGTAACAACCACATACAATAGATGGTATACACTACAGACTCTAATGTTGTTCAAAGTGCCAGACAATTTGGCGACCAAAATGTGTTTGATTTATTCTTCTTTAATCATGTTAAACTTGTCATATGTTAAGTCTGCTTTTTAACTAACTCTTTAATTTGGACAGAATTAATTTGATTGACTTTTTGGGTTTTTAAAAATTAAACTCATTTGCAACATTCGTCAACTTTAATTGCATTTTCATTTCCTGCCAAGAGTGATCTTCAGGATCAATGTTTAATTATGCTCATCTGTTTACGGAAATGGTTTTTATGACAACTCCTAATAATTCTTATTATGTAATTTTTTTTTTCACGCTAGGACAAATGAGTAAGTTATTTTGATCGCAAAGAAGAAGCCATTGATGCCCTACTCTGTCACAAGTAACTGCTGACTCTGAGGGCACAACTACATAAGTTATGTTCTGATATGTTTTGTACGTTTTTGAGCAGAAAATAAATCTGGCAATGCAAGTAGAGACCAACCAACAGCTCCAGTAGTCTCATCTACAACAACTAGCAATGCAGAAAGTAATTCATCCACTTCAAAGCTTGAAGAGGAACTCAAAGTTTCTTCTCGGTTGCGGAAATTCACATTTAATGATCTTAAGTTGGCAACAAGAAATTTTAGACCTGAGAGTCTACTTGGTGAAGGCGGTTTTGGATGTGTATTCAAGGGATGGATCGAAGAAAATGGAACTGCTCCAGTCAAACCAGGAACGGGGCTTACTGTTGCTGTTAAAACTCTCAACCACGATGGTCTCCAGGGTCATAAAGAGTGGCTGGTATGTAGCTTTCCTAATATCCTTGTCCTCATGAATTTTCTTTTCTCATCCCTTCTCTTTTACTTTTGAATGTTTGGTCTTGGTTTTTTGATTGTTTGATAATCTGTTGCAGGCTGAAGTTAATTTTCTTGGTGATCTCATCCATCCTAACTTGGTTAAACTTATTGGTTATTGCATTGAAGATGATCAAAGACTGCTAGTATATGAGTTTATGCCCCGAGGAAGCTTGGAGAACCACCTTTTTCGAAGTATGTATTTTCATCTGGGGTTGCCACTTTCATCTCTGCTGATGATGCGCTTTCTCTTTTCTTCTTTATTTTGTTTTTCCATGAGAAGTTTTGTTGGTCTGGACGGTACATTTTAATATTGCTGGCATTTTTGGTAGGGATCTTCTATGCTTTTGATAACAATTTCTTTGAGATTATATTCTCTTTAATTCATATATAAATCTTATGATATGTGCAGGGTCTTTGCCTCTTCCATGGTCTATAAGAATGAAAATTGCACTAGGTGCTGCAAAGGGACTGGCATTTCTTCATGAAGAAGCAGAAAGGCCAGTGATATATCGTGATTTTAAGACCTCTAACATCCTACTAGATGCAGTACGTAAAAAAAACCTAGTCCTAGCTGAGTTTTTGCCCAAATTATGGTTACTTTTTCTTATAATATGGTTATGCAGGACTATAATGCCAAGCTCTCTGATTTTGGTCTTGCTAAAGATGGTCCTGAAGGAGATAAAACCCATGTATCAACCCGTGTGATGGGAACTTATGGCTATGCAGCCCCAGAATATGTAATGACTGGTGAGTTTGAATTTAAATCCATCCTTCTGTTCACTTCCTTTGCCTTTATCGTTTCTGTATTATCGACTTTGTCTTGTTAAAGAAAAAAAAAGAGTTTCAAGGTAACTTTTTCCCTTTGTTTGGATCTGCCCATATTTTTCTGTCTTCAAGAGAAGAGGTTTAATGTTGTGGCTTAGCTGGGGTTTCATTTTTTTCACGTCAGTATAATTGGCTGCAACATGTTGCTTTTGAATCTACATTAATGAAGCATTTCCTGCTGTTTGCCACTTGCTGGTGGACTGTGGCTGTGTTTAGTCTGGTGATAAAAGTCTTGGATTATTAAGCATAAGTCTGCACATTCAAAATGTTGTGACCTAAATGGAAAGATGTTGAAAATTCTGTCTGTAGATCAGCCCTTCCATTGCACTTCTTTGGCAAATGGCATCCACTATATTCGTTTTAGGTTCTTGTCGTAGTATATCTGGTATGTAACTGTTGGTACAAATCCATGACATGCTAATGGGATTTCCTAGCTACTGACTTTGATTGTTTTTAGGAAAACAGGGATGTTGCTGCCACTGGGGAACACTTTTCATAGCTGATTATGTGAATTACTGAACAATTTTATTCTCTTATACTGATGAGTGATAACTTGCATATTGATTTAAACTTTCTTTCCAATAGCTTTGGATATCCTTATTAGCACTCCACACTTTGATATCTTTGGAATTCCTTTTTAATCACAATTCAGGTGCTTCAGCTCTCAAGCTAATTAGAGTAAATATTTGTTTCAGGACATCTAACATCAAGGAGTGATGTTTACAGTTTTGGTGTGGTTCTACTTGAAATGTTGACTGGTAGACGATCCATGGACAAAAACCGACCTAATGGAGAACATAACCTTGTAGAGTGGGCTCGGCCTCATCTCGGGGAGAGAAGAAGATTCTACAGATTGATAGATCCTCGACTTGAAGGTCATTTTTCAATTAAAGGTGCTCAGAAAGCTGCACAGCTGGCTGCTCACTGCTTAAGCCGTGATCCAAAAGCAAGACCCTTAATGAGTGAAGTTGTCGAAGCCTTGAAGCCACTGCCAAACTTAAAGGACATGGCAAGCTCATCATATTTTTTCCAGACCATGCAAGCAGAACGTGTAGGCTCTAGCCCAAATTCCAGAAATGGCATCCGGACTCAGGCTGCTTCTTTGTCAAGGAATGGGCAGAGGAGCCTTTCAATTCCAAACGGTTCTCAGCCTTCTCCATATCATCAGCAGTTCCTCCGCCAATCCCCAAAACCCAACGGGAAACCTTATAATTGATCCTATTTTTAATGGTCTATTTCTTTTCTTCCCTTCTCGGTACGAATGTATTCTGTGAGAGCATTGTTCTTCGACAAGTGGGGAAATGCAACAGCGAAAAAATGCTTGCCTTATTCTGTATTTAGGATTACAGCCTCCAAACAGGTTAGAGTCGGGCAGGTGGAGATCATGGAGGAAAATGTCAAACATGTCTCTAATGTCTAATCTATTTGGAAATATCAAAGATCATCATCTTCTGCCCTCTTCATTTAAATTTAATGACCTTTTAAATGCTTCACTTGTTTCATATCAAAGAACGAAGTTTTGTTGGTTGTTTTGTTTTGTTTTTTTTCCTTTTTTTCATTTTTTTTTAAATGAACAAGAGAACCAAGTTCTCTTTGCCAGTTCCTTTTGATTGTTCTCTAATAGCTAAACCAAACATGATCTTATTATTTTGATCATTTGAAAAAATGTGATGCTTACTACCTTTAAGAACATTAAAAAATTCAGATGGGGAAAGACAAACTTCGGGAAGATCATTGAAGCAAATATTCTAAATTGCCGGGATCTGTCGCCTTTTATTAAAAACAGAGACATACAATTTAGAGAATAAAACCATTTACATTTTCTTATTTGATACGGAACTTATTTTTCTCATCCAAAAAAAAGTGATACAGAACTTATTTTCCCAGAACCTCCCAGGGTCTAGCTACCTTTGCCTTGAATTCTAGTCACGGTCTTCATATATGGATCTGAGTTTTGCATCTCATGCAGCTCTTCTGGTAAGCTGGTCGGAGGATGTGCTCTCAAAGATCTTGTCAGCATTTCCAACCTCAAATCCATCTCGCCTGTGGTACTCTTTAACCTATGCAAAACAGTCACAGAAATAGTTAATAACCCTGCAGTGGATGAGTATTTTTAGCACGTAAAAGAATGATCAATGGTTCAAAAAGTAATATAATTAATCATGTAGAACAGCATGTGGA